TCTGTATGCCACGTCCGTTTCTTCCTAGTGCACGGCCCACAACATTGGCTCGCCTTTTGCGCCTTTGATTTGCGTCGTCTTTTGGCCCGGCGCTTCTTGACCTTCAACTTAACTCGTGGACCACATCCTTTCGGCCAGTCCCTCTTGAATGATGGTTGATAAATCGGACTAGATGGCTCCTCCAACATGTTCTCCAACCAAATATCGAGACCATCGTCCTCCTCCTCGTCGGACTCGCCGGGGTTGATGACCACTTCTGTATCATTCCCCTCCTCTTCAAGACTTTCCTTGTCCTCAAGGATTAGAAAATTAAGCGCACCATCATCTTCACGGTTTTGAACTTCACCCACCATTGCTCCTCGGCCTTCTACGAGTTGTCGCTCGTATTCTTCTCGATTTCTTCGTTCATGGAGCTCGTCTAGATATGTGCTCTCCCATGGTGTGAGTTCTCTTTCCAAACTCTCCAACAATTCGAGATCTTCCCAATCCATCTCGTCCTTTGGCACGTAAGACATTTTTTTTTTGTTTTTTGACTCTAAAAAATCGAAAAAATAATTGAAAGATTCGAAAAAGAATTTCGAAAATTTCGACCCAAAGAAAAGAGAAATTCGGCCCCTTCAACCAAAGGTAATAACCGAAAAAATAAAACAAAAGGACTAACAAGTTGACACTTTTTTTTTTATGACTCACGAAATTTCGAAAAATTTCGAACAAAAGAAACCAAAAAATCGAACCAAAAAAGAAAAAGAATGGGATAGAAAAAGTTCACGAACACCCAATCAATCACTCTCAATGAAAGCACCAATGATGAAGGATCGGGTGTTGCGTTCCCTCGACTTGTCTCGATCACGGCTTCGCCACGGCCTTGCTCTCGACGATAGGTGTGATCGACTCGGTTATTAGCCTAACTCTCTCACGATACTTGAGTTCACTCGGGTATTAGCCTCGCTACACTCTCGAAATAAATCGGGTCTTAGTCTCTCTAAATCGTTGAATTGGCTTGGTCTTAGCCTCACCAATTCGATTGCATGATCGAATCTCACGACTCTAACACACGGTTTCGAACAAACGTTCTTTTCTATTCAACTCATCCAAGACATCTTAAAACAATGAGGGAACATCCCTATTTATAGATCCTAACTATGACTAAGTCTAATCTACCTAGGAAACATATTAAAGCAATAAAATATTAACTTCCTATACATTCTAGATACTATTGTGCAAAAAGGAAACTAAATATATCAAAGTCCTAAATTGACTAGATCTTGATCTTGCTTGGCTTGCACTCCAAACAAATCAATCCACACGCCCCATCATATTTCGGCCGCCTTCCTTCGCTCACGCACCGTCTTCGCACGCCTAGTCCTCGGCGGACTCGGTTCCTTGTGCGCGCGCGCTGCACGCGTGTGATGACGGATCGATCTTTTGTCTATACTGGATTGCGAATAAACGACGCACTGCGGCCTTCGTTTATCCCCGATAGGTG